GTCATGTAGTGTGAACCTTGCACGCTCCATGAACTTCACACAAAAGAAACACCTCTCTTGACAACAACATCAGGCAATCCTTCATTCCTTACCAGAAACATACAACCTCCCCAACTACCCATAATAGGACTAAAATTGCCCACCGCACACAAGGAAACCATGGCAATGTCCTATTTGGGAACCCACCTACTGATTCTAGATACTATCTAGGTCAAGTCACCCTATACAACTCTTCGATCTCTAATTCGACATATACAACATCTCATCCTTTTTTATCTCTCCACCCCTCAACAGTGCTGCTATGGGGTCTCCAAATGTTGAGGGTGACAATCGTACTATTCTGAGACCATCTATATACTCCGACCTAATGAGGAGTGGCACATCTTTCCCAACGTCGACAACTGTCACTAGTCTTAAAAGTTCCTTGACTGAACCTTCTGATCACTGCCCGAAACACACTACCTAACTATTCACTTTTAAACATACTTCTTTCACCAAACTAACCTCCAACTACCTTTCTCGCATTAACCCTATTGGTAATAAACTAAATGTTCATCAATATGGAGTCAACACTCCCAATTCTTTCTTTTCTCATGGCAAAACAGACAATCGGTTGGGTTTACATCTTACCCTTCTACTAGACAAACAGTCGCCGTACCTGACACTCATGTTAATCAACGCTCGATCTGTACAAAGTAAGATGACTCACCTACGCACCCTTTTACTTTTAAATAACCCCTCACTTGTTTTGATAACGGAAGGTCGGCTGTCCTCCGATACCACAGACACATATCTACAAATAGACACCTATGAGCCCTTCCGCTGTGATCGAGTCACCAAGAAGGGTGGTGGTTGTCTTGTTTATGTAACAAAAAAATTGAGGGCGGAAATCTATGGCGACCACATCCTCAGCAAACTTCCTGAACCGAAATGGCTTACTGTGCACACTCACGAATTTAAAATACTAATTGAATGCATTTATCGAGCTCCTAACACTCCTAGTTCAACTGACACTTGACTTCACTTACAAAATTGTGTGTGGTGATTTCAGCCTTCCCACCATCAACTGGACGACACATTCTGGCCCATTGTGCTTTGAAAGCATACTTAGGTTCTTAGATATACACGGCTGGCAACAACATGTACACCTGCCTACACGAAATCACAACATTCTTGACTTGATATTCTGTCATAATGTCACACCAACATCAATGGTGGTTGGCGAAAAGTTTCGCAACAAATAGTCCTCTGCAGCCTTCCGATTCTTGCCATATGCAACAAATTAAAGACATTAAATACGCGATTCCAATATAGAGACTATGCAAACGCTGACTGGGAAAACTTTCGATTTCTAATAAAGCACTCTGACTGGGGCAGTTTCTTTACCAGTAATAACCTCTTAGAAACATTAGAAATATTCAATATCACCACCAAATCTGCACTAGACACTACTATATCCTCTAGAATTGCTTTTAAACAATCCCTCCCTATATAAACCAAAAGACTAGGTCTAAACTGCGAAAACTGAAAAGGACGTACTATATATCAAAAGACTTCAGTGCCCTGCACCAGATATACTCTACTTGACGGAGTACAAAATCAACACAACAAACATAAACAGCAGAAGAACGTACTGCGCTCACTGCTGCATCTAAAGCCCAAGCCTTATGTCGTCTCCTTGCAAAACGCATGAGAAAGAACGCAGATCAGAACATTCACTCCTTACTGCACGATGGAGTGACGTAAAATGACCAAACCTTCATATGTGAACTGTTAAGTGAATGGTTTTCCCACAATGGGAATACATCTCGTGCCACAGATATAAACATGAAATGCATCAGCAAAAATTATCTTAGTACCATAAACTTCGACATTAGGAGTACACATACCGCCATTAAAACTCTTAAGCCAATTGCGAGTCCTAGTGCCGATGACATCCCTTCAATCCTTTGTAAAGTGTCAGGACCGGACACACAGACGCTATTACTCAAAATATACATATTATCTTTAGAGACAGGTACATATCCGGAAACCTGGTCGAAAACTACAGAACCGCAAATATCACTCCAGTTATATCACGCATAATGGAAAAAGTGATACAAAATCAACTATCTGATCACCTACTTAAGGAAGATCTAATAGACCCGTCACAACACGACTTTATTAGAACAAGGTCGTGCAGTACATGTCTGATAGACTTCTTTAACGAGTTTACTCGCATACGTAACCAGAAGAAACCAGTAGTTATACTATATTTCGATATTATGAAAACCTTTGATAAAGTACCTCATAATCTTCTAATCAACAGACTTAGGTCAGTTGGAATTATAAATCCGCTTTTTCAATGGATCAAGTCTTTTCTTACAAACAGATACCAAATAACCAAGATTAACTCTACAACATCTACACCTCAACCAATAACCAGTGGTGTTGTGCAGGGTAGTGTCTTTGGTCCATTGCTCTTTATAATCTAAATCAACAATCCAACATGAACTCAACATGGTAGAAGACTGGTGCAAACGCTGGAGGTTAGAGCTCAACACAGAGAAATGCGGCTGGTTATGTATAGGAGACACTTCTCTTAAAATAAAACTAACTCTTAACAGCCACACACTGCCCAGACTGGCATCAGTAACTGACCTAGGGGTACATTACTCACACAATCTTAATTTCTCTGAACACATATCAGCCAAAGCATCTAAAATGCGGAAATTGCTTGGCTTCATTCTCCGCAGTTTCTATCAAAATGAATCTAAAATCTTTCTTTATAAAGCTTGTGTAAGACCTATCGTTGAATACTACTCATTCTTATTTTCCAACCCACGCCTATCTGATATACTAAGGGTGGAAGGAATACAACGAGACTTCATTCGCAAAATACTTTAGACTGACTCAGTCATTGACTACAGTACCCGATGCCGAATCTTAGGAATAGCACCCCTTTGGAAGAGAAGGCTTAGGTCTAATTTGATTCTCCACTTCAAACTACTCAAAAACCTTACTTATTCAACACGTAAGATAGTTCTTGCCCGAGATTCACATGAATACGAACTTCGAAACAAAGTATCTACCGTCAAGGTTGAGAAATACGGATCAAAAACTCGGGAAAACTTCTTCCTCACCAAGTATGCCATGATATGGAACAGTCCTCCCTCCTAAATACGCATGGCAGATGAATTACATACGCTTGTAAAACTGCTTGATCAAGCCCTCACTTGCACTGATCTTGCACGTACGAACACATCTGTGCCTCACTCAGACATCATAGGCTCTCTCCATGTCTAGACTTTCAAATATTAACCGTGCATCCACGTAGCACTGCAGCAAAGTCATCCGTTTCAATCTCTGCAGATGAGATCAAGATTTGAAGACCATGCCCATTATGTCATAGAGAATAATGTCACAGGATGACCCAAATTCACTGGTTCAGTGAGTGTGTAGGTTGTCAGTAGAACTTAGTTCTAACAAGAGTGTAGTGGTGCAAATAAATAATTGAGACGATTCATATCACTACAGAACAAATGTAATTGTGTTACACAAAGTGATAGATTATTATTATTATCTAGGATTTGATATAAAAAACGACAATAGAACTGCGAGTAAATCAGTGGCTGCCACTGTCAAAGTCTCTGGGGTTATATGGGGTGTTCGTTAGTCATTTCATTGCTTGAGCTAAAACAATTTGAGGCATTACACTCAATGTTTGTGAGGCTACACGTGGAACATGGGGTTCAAGAAGCGAGTCAAATGGTTCAAATGGTTGTGGACGGAATAGAAGAAGCTTTCACTTAACAGGCTTCCGTGTCTAGTAGCAGGGGATCACCAAATCCTCCAGGCAGGAACCTAGGTATGTTAACAATAAAAGAGGAAAAGAAATTGGTAAATCATAGTGCGATGCTGTCCTTGGTCCTTAAGAATAGGTCAAGTTGCCTCTTGAAGGACTCCTGAGAAGTCGCTTGGACTAGCTCGGCTGGCAGCGAATTCCAGATTTTGACAACTCTTAAGGAGTAGAAGTTGTGTCTACATTCCGTCTTGCTATGTTGTGTTTCCAGTTTCTGGTGTTACCCCTTAGGTTATTATTCGAACTAAGCTTAAGTAGGTGTTTAAGAGGATGTCCAGAAGTGTTTAGAATACTATAAGCCATTAATAAGTCACCTCTAAGACGCCTATACTCTAATGGGTAAAGGTCTAGTGAATGGAAGCGTTCTTCGTAAGGTTTAGATTTGAGTCCTCGAACTGATTTCGTGGCTCGCCGTTGGATACGCTCCAAAGTGACCTTGTCCTTTTGGGGTGAGGGAGGGAGTACTATGTTTCCGTACTCTAAATGGGGACGGATGAAACTATTGAAGATTATGTGGAAAGTTCGTCCGTCAAACTGTCCAAAAATGCGCTTCAACGTTACCAGTGCAAGGTTTCCTCGGAAGGCATTTTTGTCACAGTTAGCGTAAGACTTTGAATCATGGGGCACTATCAAAAATGTGAAGCCGATATGCTAGGACGAGTTCAATGGGTAGAACCAAGATGGTGGAACGTCTCACCGACTTACCCTATGAAAGAATAAAAAACTTCAATTTACTAATGTTATCTTATTTCCAGGTTACTGGTTGATTTTATACTGGCTTATCATACAGAGAACGATGATCTCATTATGAAAATGCCTTTTCCTACTAAGACTGATATTTAAGATCACATCCTAAGAACAAGAGGCATCTGCTCAGTCGGCGGATGAATTCAAGGTAAATCTGAAGCTTTATTGAAAAAAGACAATTATTAAAAAGGATTAACCAATCTATTATTCTTATTACTGATGGCTTACAGGAAAGCCTATTCTGATATGAATCCAACCGACTTTCTTCCCATGCAAGCAACAGTTAAGAAGCCGAAGGGATGATTCTACTCTTCATGGCGGAAAATGTTTTGCGATGCCTCACTTTGTTTTTACTTATTCACTGAGATTTGTTTGATTTGTCTCAAGGTTGTAAATCAGCTGTTCATTAGAAATGGCGTTTACTTTGGATGATGACAAAAGATGTCAGCTTAATGAGGATATCATTAAACAGCTATACCTTGTGGCTTATATGCAGGGAAGCAAGCTTCCAACATGCCTTGTTACTAACTCAAAATGTAGCAAGGTTCAGGTTCGCGGAGATGGACGTACTGCTGTTGGTGAGTTTTTATATTTATGGTAGTGTCCGTCTTCTGTTTATTCATACTTAGGTTTCCAATTTAGTTATCTATCACTTTTTATTCTTCAGATCATGATACTGAAGTTCTGTTCTATAAATGTTATACAGAAACTTTCCTCATCTTACCTCTTTGTAATATATTTCGAACTTAGTGACTAAATGTACACTTTTTTTAACAGTCGTTTCACTGTTCACCCTATGAAAAGCTTAAAAATTCATGGTAGTTCACGAAAATGTGTAGAACTATCCACAAAGTGGAACCCACCAATCCGTCTGAAGCAACTCATCTAGGTATTCGTCTCCAGTCTCCAAGTTAATAGGAAGATCTCACTCAGTAGTTTACATCTCAACTTCGGGATCGTGTGATCGTGATCGATGCATGTCCTCATTCTGATGGGGAATTTCGGGTGGGAATGTGATATGTTAATATATATGTTGTTACTATGTCATTGTCTTAGGTCTGTACTACTCGAACTTTAAGTTGCACTATCAACTAAGCATTTACATGGGAAAAAAACCGTCAAAATTCCACAGGATTTCGTAAGCTCTTTTGTTAACTTCAGTACAGCAAGTATAGTCAAATTTTTTTTCTGTTCGTAGTTTACTATCGGTTGCTAACAGCCTTGAATAATTGTATTAAGTATCAGAAAAAATCTTTAGCCCGGTTATTAGAAAAGCGCTTATTGCTAAAATCAACAGTTAAAGGTCAATAAAAAAACTAGAAAGCAAGAAAACGGTAAATATCGTCGGTAATACTGAATTATTTGCTGGGTAAATTGGTGGATGTTCTTAAACGTCCATGTGTTGTTGATGAACTCCTTGTGAACCTGAAGTCAACTGTTTTCACCTAGGGTTAAAGTGGTCGGCAGATACACTGGATGGACCGCGGTAATAGATAGGGCTCGCCTAGTAATAAACAAGAACGGAAACAAGTCAAAAATCATGACCAAAAGTAATAATACGTAATTGAATTTCAGATATATTGTAACATTATTACTAAAGACGAGCTACCGACTAAATGGGAGACTAAAAGCATTACCCTTGTAAAATGATGATTTAAGTTTGAAATTTACGACAGAAAATAATTTAGATTAGGCTCAGTAAGTTAGAGCTTGCTTACTTGCAAGTTGTTTCGAAATTCCACGAAATAAAATCATTATTTCTCCACACAAAATTTGAACTTGTTAACGTTCCCATCAGTTCCTATACTGTTAACGTCAATGAAACAATTAGTAACAATAATTCAGTGGAAACACGGAAGCATAAGTATTTGATAGAGTTATTAATATCGCCGCATCGTTTTAAAGAATGATAAACTAACTTCAGTGAAGCTCTAATCTGTTACTCAAGATATTTTTTGCCACTCGGTTAAAAATCACAATTCCGCTCAATCTATGAAGATTTTAACTGTTAGGTCATACTGTTAATTTATAGAATTGATCTGTAGCATAGTACACAAACTTTTGTTTGATATCTCGTTGCTGTACCACTATGATGTATAAATAGATATAAAATACCAGGTTGACGTAAAGAGAAATAGAGCATGTCATAATGTAACCCATGTGCCAAGTATAGATTTATATGCTCAGGCTTATGCCATACCGTTTGTATTAGTTAACGATACTAACCAGTTGTCCGAACAGAATAAAATGGGGCTCAGTTTGACTTTAGGTTCGATTAGTTTAAAACCTAGCACTCTAGCTACTAAGCTACCACTTCAAAAATGAAGTAAACAGATCAAAAGGAATAACTTCGATTATATCCCATTTGTTTGTTTGTGTGTATTACTGTTATTGATTTAAATGATCATACCTAAATTCTACTTCTGATATCGAAGGTTCATGTTTACAGTTTAATGTACGACCCACATTTATAATCAGTAGTTTCAAGAACTACTGCCATACCCTGTTGGTTTTACATATGATAACGACTAATGTCCCGGAAGAATTTTGCCTGGGACAATTGACTGATAGTAATTAAACTTTATTTGTCTATCTCCAACTTCATTCAGGCCATGGTTTTTTTATGGTAAGACATGACCAAAGTGGGTTTGAAATGCTCCTCACACTGTTCGTTCTGCCATCTGATAAGTGTCACTAATCCATCTTTCTCAGATATTTTGTCTATTCATTGAATATTCCAATAGAAACAAGCAAGAATAATTAAAGAATTTCTTGTACATCATGGTCTACATAGAATGGTCAACGAATCCTTAAATTTTGTCATGGGACATCGGACTGAATTTTAAGGTGATTACCATACTTGGATTTGTTTGAGATTAGTTAGGTTCTTAATTTTACGATCCTACTGGTTTGTAGCATGTAGGTCTGTAATGCGTTCCAACTACTCAATCTGGGTGTCTGACATTTCGTGGTCCATGCAAACATTGATCAGTGATATTACGTGACGAAATAATGCAAGATACAACCACTTTCGAAACACTGGTTTTTAACGCTTGGTTCCATTACCGTACATCCTATCATTTTAAGAAAGATTCACAACAATTTAAAATACTTTGTTCATAGGATTGTTAATTTCTGGCTATTTTTCTAAATTTGAGATACTGTGCAATTAAAAACGTCGACCCATAAATAACACATTTCCGCCATATCTTTTCACAACTAATTGAACAATCTTACCGCCTGACTCCATCACTGTAATTATTCACACTATGTGTATAGCTGCTCCTAATCGTATTATCCTTCAACATGACTTCATGATATGGCAGCAGGATCTCAAATAATAGGAATTTTAACCGCTCAACTTTGTTTTGGTCATTGTGGTAGGTAAGTCCGTCCAAAACCTGTCAGAAACTATCGACATCTGTCACTAGCATAGATTTTCAGGAACCATCAACTATTTCAGACTGGAAATTAATACCATTTCGATAAGTTACTTAGCTAGTTTCCTTTTTCCTTATAGTTTACTCGGCTTTTATAGATATTTGATCCTATCGTTGCCTTTGCCAGTTTTTTGTGAGTAGATAGCCTTAGAATGTGTAAGTAATTTCTAGTAACTTATCTTGAGGGTTCCATAGTCTTACTTATTGATGTAGACTCCCTGTTCCTAAAATTTGACAGCGATTATTGAAATAAGTAATCTGACAGCCTATTACATTCAAGTTGTAAGTGCTAGGCTCTATGTTGATTATAACTGACACTCATTGTATGGACAAAATTGCTTATTTTACAGCTATAAGCTCATTATGCGACTTACTTGGGTCTAACATCAAATTTGTTCTTCTAGTGGTTTCCCAAAATGTGCTCAAAATGTATGAATTGTTGAATATCGTTACCTTCCTTATAATAGTCATTTATCAAAATTTTACATTAGTACAGAGTACATTGACTAACGATATGTTTGTTCATTAATGTTTATGCGAATTTCCTTTTTACCGAATTTTTAAAATCTAATAAACTCTTGTTGATATTTCACCATCTACCTAGAGATGTGGTCTAAGTTCATAAGTTTATTTATCCTTTGTATGAGCCTTTTAGAGACACATGTTTACTGTTTGCATTCCACGAAACGAAGGTAATAATGAGTTGGAAATCGTAAGAAATGTTCCAAAATAAATTACACTGACGTAAGATCATTTTAGTAGCCGTAAATGTTTTATAACTTCATGCGTTTTATTCTCGGTTTCACTTTTCATTTATTTCCATATCTTTCTGGCAATCTATCATTGCTGCCACTGTTACTTTGTTTTTTTATTAATACTAATTATGGTAACTACGTTCCGCTGATATTGAATGATTTTTAAGTTGTTAGTGAATTTTATTTAATATTTCGAGGTATACACATCTAGAAAGCGAACTAAGCGGACGTTTTCTAGTCGTTGCTTTTATCCGTTAGCAACCTTTTGAAGTGATACCTCTTTTTTAATAGTCATTAAGCCCGTTGTGCTAGATTAGCCATAACTCCTAATATGTCTGCTCTAACGCCTGGTACTTATTTAAACTATTCTCTGAACTAGTAATGTCGGCTTAACCGTATATTGTTTTGTTGTGAAACTAGGAAATTGAAAACATGTTTATCGTTTGTCACGTATACATAACGAAGTAAGAATAAGCCTAAAAGAAATATTTGTTTTATAATGTATAAATATCATAATGTGAATAAACATATTTAAAAATATCGGAAATCAATAGGTTTCAAGTAGACTGATTAGAATCCCAGGGAAAGCACCAGTTCCTTCAAGGTTACAGATACACCTGGGTGGGATGTTTCAGCTACCACGATATTTCATTTCAGAGCTTCCTGTCTATTGTCTTCATCTCTCCGTGCTAATGAGGTATAACAAATTAAACCGATGTACATACATACAGGTTCTGCTTTGTAATTGACTAACTGACCGATTTATCAATGTGCATAAGTTTTTTCTTCAAGGTGCATATGTAATTATTATTTTGGTTACCTTGTGATCTGTAATCTTACGCTATCGGCACTGTTTTTAGAAAAATATCCTTAACGATGATACCGATGTATGATTATTCATTAAGCCTATATATTTTGTAATAAAATCAACGCTTGCTGATATAATTAGAAACTTTATATAACCATACCAGTCACATATATAATTTCTAATCTTATATATACTCATTTTGTTTTTTTAATTTTCATCATATATAGACATGAGATCACATGTACATCAAACTGTTTTACCTGTGGTTATAAAAGCTGATCACCCAATTCCAGTTTCATGTAGCGTTTATTATTTCGAGATAACCGTTAATGTTAAAAGTCGTTCTGGGTGAGTACACTTAATATCCATCACCTTCATATATATTTCTTAAATAATTATGTTTAATAGTAACAAATTTCTAGTCATATCCAGTCTAATTTATTTTTTTCTACACACCTGTGGCACAAGTGTTAACATTCTCACAGTTAGTCAGACCAACTACTGATACGTTTTAAGTTACATCGTTAACTTTGTGTATACAGCGCAGTGGCGTTTTCCTTTTGGAAATAAGATGTTAGAGAAAATGTTCATTATGTCTTATTTTCATTAATGTTCAACTAGGCGATCGGTCGAACGAGTAGTATAATTTTGCTAATTCTCTCATTGCATTATCGAAATTCTCATAATATTTATCTTTGTTCGTCTCTTGCATAACTGAATATGTCGTTTACATTATGATAGATTCGATTTCATTACTATGAAAGGATCACTTCCTATTTTTATCGAGGTTTAACTGGTAGTCTATACTAGGTTTTATGCTTATAATTTTACTACCTCTACCATTACGGGATTTGAATCGATAATTGCATCGCTGTACTAGTGTGGTATGGCAACTCAAACTGATGTACGTACGTACGAAGTTCTACGTTGTTGATGACTGACTGACTGACTGGGGTTTTATGCTGTCAGTTATAATGGTCTAATAATAGTGTAACTCACTAATTGCAGATCTATGTACTCGGCTTTAAGCCACACGCCTTTGTGTGAGGGCTAGGGATACTGGTTAGCAACCCGAACTGACGAAAACGGAGTGGTGTTTTCATTTATTCTGATTAGAAGGCTCTGTCTTTATAAGGTAGTATTTCACAACGATGAATTAAATCAAAGTGAATTGATGCTCACTATAGTCGCATCAACATTGGCAGACAGACACCTCGCCTATGCCACAAATGACTAAGGTTCGCAAAACTTAGCCGAGCTTTTCCAGTCAGTCAATCATCAACGTAGACTCTAGCACAATCGTACACTGGTTCAAGTTACCATGCCACATTAGCACGAAAAGCTAAAAATAATAAGATGAATAACAAAATAGATCAAAATAACCCATTAGCAATAATAACTAGAAAGACTAAACATTCGGAATATTATAGGCAGAGATGGATGGTGTTGGGATATTCAGAAAAATATACCAATAATTATCCTGTTAAGTCTAATGGTGTCATTGGACTTTAAATGGACATTTCCTATTGGTCAATGTTTATTTCACTTGTCAAATATTGTACAAATGTTGTTTTCTATTTTATGGTACGATGCGGTCTGCTTGGTTGGTATATAAACAGAGTATGTTTGAAATATAACGATTCATATCTCAGAGACTGAAACTTGCGTTCTGGACTCAACTGGCTGGGCTAGACAGGGAAGCAGGGCCAATCGGGACTCTAGGTCGTTCTTACGTGTTTTACGTATCATTAATCCGATCGATAATTCGCTGCGCATCTAATCTGCAATCCACAGTTACAACAGATGGTGGCTAGCAGTGGGATATAAGCTGCGCGTTTTGTCTTATTTGGGACTCGTCAACTAACCGTAGCTGCATCCCAGAGTTGATGTTAACTCCGAGGCTCGGACCCAGTACCTGTCCCGGAGTGAACGTCAGCTCTGGGATGCAGGTACAATCAGTTGAGGAGTCCCAAATAGGACGAAACGAGCGTCCTGGATTCCACTACTAGCCACCATCCACCTCTTCTTATAATGCTTGTGACTCAAAGAAATCGTCATAGAATCCATATATGTCAATGAGAGACTAATCGATCGCAGTCCTAAACATCGTTGGAAAGATTCAAACAACCAATACAAAAGTGAATTCGGAATATTGTTCAAAAAGACCTAGTGGAATGGTATGTATAAACGGATACTAGAGTCCGAAGTCTATCGGAAGATGAAGAGCGAATGTGTCCTAGACCACTATAAAAGATTCTGGGCATGTTATCGAAGTCTCCAACCGTTGATCGTGGTTATCACACATCGGAGTGGCCGAGCAGTCTAAGGCGCCTTCCGGGTGTTCTGGTCCACGATGTGGGCGTGTGTTCGAATCCCACCTCCGGCACATACTTTGGGTGTCGGTGGTTCAATAGCACAATGCTCGCCTGCCACGCGGGCTGGCCGGGTCCGATTCCCGGCCGACACACACCGCTTTGTCCCCAAATACCCTGGTACGGCCGAGGGTGGGGAGAGTCAGTCAGCCCTCCCTCTCGAAATGCTCTCACGTGGCCACGTGTATGCAGCCACTACCATGGAAGTTCTACTCACTGCCTTCTCTTGGCAGGGATGTTGTTTACGAAATTGAGAGAACGAAAAGCGAATGTCCGGCGCCTTAACCGAGTCGGTGGACACAGATAGTCCACCTAGAAGAGTTGGAAAACCCTGATTCCAAACCAATGGTGCACATGGGCTCCAGGATCCTGAAGGAACAAATGGTGTATGAACCAACCAAAGGCAAACGGAACGTAAAAGACCGTCCCATCAGGTTATGAGTCAGGTGTTCAGACCCACCGAAGAAACTGGAATTATGAAATAGTTAATGACATTCTCTCAAAGAAAGATGGAGTAGTGGTCCATCCTCATCCCAAAAATCTGTAACAATAGTCGTCAATCTAGTTCCTCTTCGTAATCAATATCCCATTAATTTCCCTATCTGTTAATCTTATAAGTTATATGTTTAATCGAAATGTGAAGTGTTTTCTGTAACTGTTGGTACTTTAGTTACTAGAATATACTGAAATACAACTGAATGTCTTGCTATGTATTTCTTACGACTAAAATTATTTGTGACTTAATGCCAGGCAGTATTTATACCACTCTTTTGATCGGTGGCTTATCGGTTAGGGCATGGAACTCCCCAGGTTCAAACTCCATTCCATCTACTCCAGTTTCGACTACTGTATAATATCATTAATCCTCACATTTAAAGTGTGGCTTATACTCAAGTATATTGTGAGCGAGTTATCTTAATCTTTTTGAACAATTAGTCATCACTTTCTCCTAATAATTATCAGCTTATAGTCTAACAGCTAGGTTCACTTTTACTTTAGTATTTAAATAATTGTACCAATTTTTTGTTACACTATATATAGTAGAATCTATATTTACTTACGTACATCATATTTATTGCTACTATTCATATTATTAGTAATGGTACTATTGTCATTTACTCAATTTTTATTCTATTTACTCTCCTTTTTCATTATATTATCTTCCTCTACCTCAGTTTACTTGCTTTGGGTGTATGTTCATCACGTTCATCTACAAATGAATGGCCAGGTAAATTATCGATTCATTGATCTTATTCTCTTTTTTATGTTCAGTTTATTTCCTTTTCAATGTATTGATTTTTACTTTATTTTTGGTTATTGTTTTGATATAATGGTAAGAAAATAAATGTATGAACAGTATCATTATGTCAGAGGAGTTTATTAGTTTACTACAATTGATCAATATGAACGGTGTGGGGATAATAAAGCAACAATCAAATAAACGCGCTTTGTTCTCTTTTTTATTGTAGCAATATTGGTACGACAAATGTCTATTTTTATACTAAAGTGTATTGTGGCTAAAAATATTTCTTTATTGAATATAAAACTCTGCCTGTAGCTCTTCTAGAGTTACTGCAGTTCCTAAGCCCGGCTAAAGGAGGAGGGTTGGGCATGGGGTTAGCAGCCCCATCCCGTAGAAAACTAACTCGCTAAAAAACGCTTACCAGAAAAAATAATTCAAACCATTTAAACTCTGCCCTGGGAGTTAGAAGGTCTTCATTTAGAAGAAATATGACGCTTCATGGTGAAAGCCGAGTTCCTTCGGAAGCCACGAGGCCGATGCCCCTTCTAACAACCAGAGCAACAATTTTTATAGGTACATGGAACGTTCGAACAATGTGGGAAACCGGGAAGACCAGTCAAATAGCAACGGAAATGAGGAGATACAACTTGGCAGTACTGGGAATCAGCGAAACCCACTGGACCCAAGCTGGACAAAAAAGGCTAGATACGGGAGAGATGCTGCTATACTCCGGTCACGAAGAGGAAAATGCTCCACACACTCAGGGAGTCGCTTCTATGCTGTCCAAAGTAGCACGAAATGCACTTGTAGGATGGGAATCTCACGGATCCAGAATCATCAAAGCATCATTCAAAACAAAGAAGGAGGGGATCTTAATGAATATTATCCAATGTTATGCACCCACCAATGATAGCAACGACGACATTAAAGATCAATTCTACGAGCGGCTGCAGTCAATCATTGAGAAATGCCCAAGAAAGGACCTCACCATTCTGATGGGAGATCTAAATGCCAAAGTCGGAATAGACAACACCGGATATGAAGATATCATGGGACGACATGGACTGGGAGAGAAACGAAAATGGGGAAAGATTTGCAAATCTGTGTGCATTCAACAAATTGGTCATAGGAGGCACAATATTTCCACACGAACGTATACACAAGGCTACATGGATCTCACCGGACCACACTACAGAGAACCAGATAGATCATATTTGCATCAACAAAAAATTCCGAAGGACAATGGAAGATGTGAGAACCAGGAGAGAAGCTGATATAGCTTCAGATCACCACCTAGTTGTAGCCAATTTAAAACTGAAGCTAAAAAAGAACTGGACAAGTGGACAAACAGCAATACAAAGGTTCAATACAGCCTTCCTTCGAGATACTGACAAACTCAATGAATTCAAGATAGCTCTCAACAACAGGTTTCAAGCCTTACAAGATCTACTGAAGGAAGAAAAAACTACTATGGAGGACAACTGGAAAGGCATCAAAGAAGCATTAACTTCAACGTGTCAAGAGGTTCTGGGCCTAAAGAAACACCATCATAAGGAATGGATCTCTATAGAAACACTGGACAAGATCAAAGAAAGGAAGAACAAGAAGACAGCAATTAACAACAGCCGAACACGAACAGAGAAAATCCAAGCACAAGCTGAGTACATAGAAGTAAACGAGCAAGTGAAAAAGAGCACTAGAGCCGACAAGCAGAAATACGTAGAACAACTAGAAAAGACGGCGGAAAACGCTTCAAGAGAAGGAAATATGAAACAGCTTTACGATACAACGAAGAAACTATCAGGGAAATACAGTAAACCAGAGAGACCGGTCAAAGACAAAGAAGGCAGGCCAATCACTGAAATTCAACAACAACGGAACAGATGGGTAGAATACTTCGAGGAACTCCTGAATAGGCCGGCTCCAATGAATCCACCGGACATCGAAGCAGCACACACAGATCTTCCTATAGATGTCAACCCACCAACGACGGAAGAAATCAGAATGGCCGTCAGACAAATCAAGAACGGGAAAGCAGCAGGACCCGACAACATACCAGCTGAAGCACTGAAATCAGACATCGAAGTAACCACAAGCATGCTTACCTTCTATTCAAAAAGATTTGGGAGGAGGAACAAGTGCCAATGGACTGGAAAGAAGGACACCTCATCAAGATTCCAAAGAAAGGAGATCTGAGCAAATGTGAAAACTACAGAGGCATTACACTACTGTCAATACCAGGGAAAGTCTTCAACAGAGTGTTGCTGAACCGGATGAAGGATGCAGTAGACGCCCAACTTCGAGATCAACAAGCTGGATTCCGTAAGGATCGGTCGTGCACAGACCAAATTGCAACACTACGGATCATCGTCGAACAATCAGTTGAGTGGAACTCATCACTATACATCAACTTCATTGATTATGAAAAGGCATTCGACAGTGTAGATAGGAGGACATTATGGAAACTTCTTCGACACTACGGAGTTCCTGAGAAGATTGTCAACATTATCCGGAACTCATACGACGGACTACAGTGCAAAGTAGTGCATGGAGGACAGCTGACAGATGCATTCCAAGTAAGGACCGGAGTCAGACAAGGCTGTTTACTCTCTCCCTTCCTCTTTCTTCTGGTGGTCGACTGGATTATGAAGACCTCGACATCTGAAGGAAAACACGGAATACAATGGACAGCTCAGAATCAATTAGACGATTTGGACTTCGCAGATGACCTAGCCCTCCTATCGCATACACACGAACAGATGCAGATGAAGACAGCCAGTGTAGCAGCAGTCTCTGCATCAGTAGGCCTCAGCATACACAAAGGGAAAACCAAGGTCCTCAAATTCAAGCGGAGAACAGCAATCCAATCACTCTTGATGGCGAAACTCTGGAAGATGTAGAGTCCTTCACATACCTGGGAAGCATCATCGATGAACAAGGAGGTTCAGATGCAGACGTAAAGGCGAGGATTGGCAAAGCAAGGGTCGCATTCCTACAATTGAAGAACATATGGAACTCAAAACAACTTTCAACCAATATCAAAGTGAGAATCTTCAATACGAACGTCAAGGCAGTTCTACTATATGGAGCTGAAACTTGGAGAACTACAACAACCACCATCAAGAAGTACAAGTATTTATAAATAGCTGTCTACGCAAGATACTCAACATCCATTGGCCGGATACCATCAGTAACAGCCTTCTGTGGGAGAGAACAAACCAATTCCAGCTGAAGAATAAATTAGGAAAAGACGATGGAAATGGATAGGACATACATTACGCAAATCACCAAACTGCATCACGAGGCAAGCCTTAACTTGGAATCCTGAAGGGAAGAGGAAAGGAGGAAGGCCAAAGAACACATTACGTCCGGAAATAGAAGTAGATATGAAAAGGATGAATAACAACTGGAAGGAGCTGGAAAGGATTACCCAGAACAGGGTTGGATGGAGAATGCTGGTGAGCGGCCTATGCTCCTTCACGAGGAGTAACAGGCTTAAGTAAGTAAGTATTGAATATAATATTTATTGCTTTATAGTGAGAAAAAAAGCTGAATGGTGTATCTAGCCATGTATAACAATAGCAAGAGATAGAGGGAGAGAGAAGAGTATAATAATAAATAATATGTTGTGGATTATTGATTAATGAAACAATTGTTTAACCGTTTCTAAAAGTTTTATGTTAAAGCGGAAGTGTAACTATTGTGTTTTTGTTTGTCGAGATTAGGTATACATTCTTTGTTATAATAGCAATAATTCATCGATGATGTGATTAGCTTAACTCTGAGTCATTTAAACTATGTACAGTTGTAGAATAATCTTGTTGCTTGGACTATAGTCGTTCCCTTTTTAATACTCGAACTGTAGACTAATGGAGATCAAAGCTTATTCGTTATTGGCTAAAATTTACTGATATTTTGCAATCTTATATACTACAATGTTATATTTTGTGGAATTGTTGGTTTTCCAAATAAACCTTTTGGTTAATGGGTGGACAAACAACTTATCATCAGCCTGGTACCATCCAGCTTAAAAGTGACCTTTAATGTTGGTCTATTTCATATTCTAAATTGTCAGCTACTGGGTATAACACCATCGGATCTTAGCTAAATACACTGAGGAGTCTTCTGACTTTGGCTCTATAGTGAACACGGAAGATATTTCACTCAGTTTAATAGTAAACGTACTTGGAGAATTCTCTCCCAGGTGACAGATTGATGATGAATTCTCTGTACGTCACTAAAATCTTTAACATTAGTATTTGTTATCCAAAAGACATGTTTAGTGTTTTCGATAAACCTGTCTATTGTCCGATTAACTTCAAAGTGCGAATGCTGAAGGTAGGAAGTTTAATTGGCACGTGTGCTTTCAGAATAGATGTACGAGATTCTACACTGAGTGACAGCTCTTTGAAAACAACCACTTATCGATATAAAACTTTATGGTATAATCGAATTTTCAACAGAAACTACGACTTTTTGAGGTATGAATAAACAAAGTCGGAATAAAATAACACAGAGATGATTTCGTTGTTATTCATTATACTTGTATTCGTGAAAAAAAATGTTTATCAAACCAGTTAATTATGTTTTATTTACTGAATTATCATGATTTGTTTGATGCCACTGGCATGCTCAAAATATAAAGGATAACTTCTATAGGAGATCAACTTCCAAGTCTTCATGTGGGATCTTGTATCATCGACATTATGTTTATCCTTTGTTTGATCCCTTGAAGTCCCGGATATAAACCCTCTCTATTCATTGGTATATCTGAGGAACCAGATGTCTGCTTTCAGCTTTGTGAGGATACCATTACCACTTGTCTAAACAATTAGTACTAATTCCTTAGGATATAATATCAGCACATTTCTCTATACAAGTATTTTTAGCGAAAATAGGCTCTTCTTTATCAACTGTGCTATGGTATATTGAAGTGGTTAATATTGTGTGGACATGGTTTTTATTAATTATGTGTTTATTTTCACTATACATATGCAGAATATTGTGTTTACAATTGCCTGTTCAAGTTGTGGTGGTCAATGTCATATTTATCCTTAATCCTTTAGTTTTAATCCAATTATATCGATCAATTTGCAATATGGCTCCTAGCCTAAGTGACTTGATATCGCGTTCACTATGTTTCAGTGTTAGATGGTTGGAGCTAGGTAGTCAGCATGACACCCTAGTCCTATATTTCGTGCTAGCTCCCAATCGTATACAAGGAGTACCTATAATCTTAGTGAAGCTGTTGCTCACTGTAGTATTCTAACACATGTACCTCACCTTCATAATCTGAAAGATGCTGTGTAAATATATTTTAGTTAATCTTTATTCATTAACAAAGGGGAAATAAAATAGCTTTGTATCTGTTTTTCTTTCTGTTCTCTTTTTCGATTCTACTAATTCAATATTAAATAAACAATAATAATAATTACAGGGATGGAATTTACATCGTATGGTTACCACAGTAATAGCGGAACAATTTATCATAATTCCAAAGAACTACCCATTTCTGCGCCTAGTTTTGGTGAATCCGATATAATTGGTTGCGGTGTGAATTTTGTTAATAATTCTGTTTTTTTCACAAAAAATGGTGTATTCGTTGGACCAATAAGTGCTGGTAAAAAGTTGGTGAGTTTTATGTTTTATAAAAAATGAATTTTTGGAGGATAATGGTTTCTTATTTATGAGATTAAGTTTACGAATTTCTCAGTGTAAATAATATCTGTTATTTAGTGTATAATTATTATAGTCCAACAAGTATTCCATGAATGACATTGGTGTGCCCTCATCTTAATTATTAAATCATTCACCTCCACTCTCCTCTACTTTATCCTTCCGATCTTTATTACAGAAACAAATTTTCGAGCAGTGGAACCTCTCCAGTAAATTCTGACAAACCACCTATTTGAATTTAAGTGATTTTATATTCATTAATAAGCGTCAAATCATGATGTTCTATTGCTTGTGTTAGTCTATGTATTAATTTGATCTTTTTAATGCAACATAGTAGAATATTAACATTTATGGCTCATATTTAATTGTTTGGTTAATCAACTAAATATTGCTATGATTCTTAATCTCAAATACAATACGCTCCATTCAATGTAAACCATTTTAACAAATCTGGTAAGTGTCTATAAATGAGACGTTACTTTATAAGTTTGTGAGTGAATCTATGTGCACTCAATGTGTTTCTTCGAAACAATAATAACTAATCTCCCACGCTGAAAGATACATAAACAGTATCTTCCTCTAAGTCTTACACATATTAGTACTGTAATGTCTATTAACCTCATGTTTTTTTGGGTGTCATTACCAAAGTCTGACTTGATAATTTCAAACAAATTGAGCATTGAGTAGATTGCTATTAATAAAGATAATGTATTTGTAATATTCCAATGAGTAAAAAAATTAACTTTTTAAATATTCTGACGTTTCGTGACTTATTGTAAGTCACTTCTTCAGAGAATAAGTCAACAAACAAAATTAAATCAAGTTTAAATAGTATAAAAGAACAAAGTAAGAATATTTGGTGCTATCAACCAAAAACAGATCTGACCAAGTCAATGTCATATCATTTCGGCTCAAGTGACTTATTTCAGGCATTGTTTTTGTTCATCTTAATTAGAGTCGTTCCATCATTATTGGTTTCTTTTTTTAAGCTGCTAAAAATAAAAAATCTTGATCTTAAAAATTCTCATTGATTATTTTACGTGGTCATTGTTACGAGTCCCCAAGATTATATCGATAAAATTTCTAGAAGCCCAGAAAAGGCTTAAAACGCTTCGTCCAGTTAACACCAAACAGACATATCTATAAAAGTCACTGCTAGTTTGTTGCATCCTAATTCGACAATTACTTATTTTGTTGTATTTCAGAAGCGTCTAGACAGTTACGGCTACTTGTAAACTAATAAATAAACTTGTTTTCTGTGCATAAATTAACCTTGGATTAAGGCTTCTATTCTTACTTCACATCTTTTCTTTACCATTTGTTTTAAGTTTAGTAGTAGTGTGGGAGTATAGAAAGTCGCTATGAAGTTAATAGCAAGTGTTCGATTAGTAGAGATATCAGTTATTACTTATCTTAAAACCGAAGATCAATTAACATCTGTTCTTCTTAGTGTAGGGACTTTTCAGTAGTGCATATCAGAGATCCCATAGATGATCAAACTTAACATTTTCATAAAACAACATAAGTTAGTGATAATCCTGGGCTCATTAGTGACTAGCGGATTTTTCAAGGAGCTGTGTTCTATGGAATATAACAATTTGAAATTTACATACCAGTGAGATTGAATGATGGTCGGGATATAACTCAGTTTGAGTGAAATAAGATTCTTTAGGCCATACTATACTAACTGGTGGTCTTTTTCTGGATCCTGTGTTGAGATCACAGATGCCAGTGATTCTGGTTCATGTCGACTTCGCTTGAGATTTGAATTTGGGTCTCGAAAGCCGATCATTCATGTAGCCATCCTAGTCATTTCATCAGTTTTATCAGTCAGTCACACCTTAATAGCATACTTGTTCGAGAATAATATTCTATGGTAAGTTAAGAAGCAACAATTTCACTGTCATGTTGTTAATATTTCAAGTTGATTACTTCACTCTTTGTGTATACTGACGTGTAATATTTCTCTCATAGTGAATTATTACACCTGTTTCTTTTATCTCAAGTGATAGATGTTAATTCCTATTATTATGGCTACAGTTCTCTGAGAATCATTTATGCTTTCTAGTAGGCTTTACCTGGACGAAATTTGGTTTTATTTTATATATTACAGTTTTGCTAGTCGAAAAGCTAACGTTCACCCAGTGATAAGTAGTAGTAGTTATACATTATTACGGTTTATTATCTTGCCAATCAACAGTAATCAGGCAAACAACACCGGTTCTGATCGTTTCAGTTGTGAGGTGTGGTTCAGCTTTATGCCCCGTTAGATGATACATATATAGTTTTTTTAGCTAAGTAGAAACAAAATATTTAGTGTTTGTTTCATCATAGTCTACCTAATATCGATTGTTTTTATGAACCATTCCGATATCGTGTGAATTGTGCGTAAAACTCAAATTTCTACAAACATAGTTTTAAGCTAATTTGCTATCGAAAAGCCCGGTAAACAACTTAAGCAATAGTTTAGTCGCTTCTCTCCATTATAAATTTAAATTTATAATCTATAGAAACCTTGGTATCTAGTTATATAAGAAGGAAATTATTGTCTTTCATACATAATATAGCTTATCATACTTATTGGTGCCCCATGACTTGTTGGTTAAAGTGTTCGACTTCGAAAAACTGGGTCGTGAGTTTGAGCCTCACTCCATGTACTTCGGTTTAGGGGGACACAATATCATTTTTAGCTCAAAGCAGAGTACACGAATATTTAGGTTGTTAGTCAATATATCAAAATGATCATCAGTACGCTTATCTGTAATATTCAACAAAATTACGAAAATGGTAATTTGCACACAGAACCAGCCTCATAATTCCAACCGACTATAGTTCAAAAGTCACTTAGTTGGATATATTATCAAGACATTAAAGGTTATATGTACTCAACCAATTTATCTGGAAAAATATCACCTAACTGATGAAATGAACGTCAATTGGAAAAATGTTGATCCTTTAACTCTCTCCACATATGAATATATACATGTGTACATATATATTAAAAAGATGATTAAACATGTATCTTTTTAAATCACACCTTATTGTTTTAATCTTACCTCCGATACATCACATTTCTTTCTGTATTCAGCCACATCCAGTCTATCCTTGTATTGCTTTCGCCTGTCCCAATTGCCATGTGAGCGTCAATTTCGGTCATCATAAATTTGCATACAATATTGGTCAGTATATTGCTCGTGAACGTGCTGTAGCAATAAGTACAGCAGTCGATCGTAAATGTAATGATCAGTTAGCTTATGTGACAATGAGAAAGTGAGTGTTGGTTTATTCATGCTCGTTATATATATATATATATTCTTACTTCAATGTATGTCATAAGTATTCTATTCTTTTGACCTACTTTTTCAAAATTTATCAAACATTAAAATAAATTCGTTTCGAGTGTTTTAGTGACGTTTGATGTTAGAATTTTATGTTTGTATTATTTTATTGATTTTAAGCGGGGAGATAGCGAGCGGTTTGGTTTTATTGAAATAGGTGTTTAGATAAGTGAAGACCATCTGTCTTTTGATGCTACTTCATGATGAAAAAATAAATCTTTAGAGGAAATATTTTTAATCGTATCACTTTCCAGTCAGCTGGTGCCTAAAAGTATTTTGTTCTTTTGCCAGTTTATATCACGTACTAATCTCGTACAATCACAACCGCATTGGGGATGAACCCAAGATATTCAGGTTTCACAGCAAGCGCTTAACCTTTAGATCACTGAGTTGGTGTCCGAGTTTTACATTTTTAATTTCAAGCCATACATGATGTTGTGCCAATCATCATCAGATCATACTGATAGGTAGTTATTTCACTGCCGATATAGTTAAACTCCAATGACCATGAGTTTCCCACTAAAACTGCGAGGATCGCCTCTTTAATAATTTCCACAAAACAGACCTTTTTTAATAAATTTGTTTATTTTCAATGTAGTACCTAGTTTGAATATGTATTGCTTCAGACTGCCACACCTCACATCAGCACGACAAGAGTTTGAAGTCAATAAGTTATGAAGCTGGAGATAAGAATTAATTTCATACGAATTGAAGACATGAGAAGTACAGCTCAAGATTAACAAGGTACTATCGAGGTATAAGATACCATCAATGATATTTCACTCTTGACTTTGAAAGATATAGAATGCTTGGGATTGTTTCACGTCAACTATATGAAACACTTTACTACTGCCACTCCCCCAAGTTTACTCAACAGAACCATTGCACCCTCAGATAATAAATTTGCTGCTTTTGGTCTTATTCCTATTAACGTGACCTACTGAATATGCATGATACTCTTATGGGCTAGTGAACATTAGGAACTAGGAAGCTTTACATAAGTGCTTTGTTCTAGCAGCGGTTTTTACTCTGAACTTTGCACGAAGTTAGACTTGAGATTTAATGGCCACGATCACTTTAATTTGTTATATCACTCACTACAATCCAGTGGTTCTTGTTAGACAACTAATGTGTGGAATTAGCACTAAATTTTATATTCAGGTCGTAATTTCATTGACAATAGAGTAGTCTACGAGATTCCTATCTTATAATCCCTGATCTTTGAGTCAATCATATTTATTCTTTTATTTAATAATTAGCATCTAAGCATGTCATCTTACGAAAACAATTATTCTACTGACTAATAAATAGTCTTCTTTTTAACATCTTTACATTCGGGAGTTTGAGTCTATAACCTGATCATATGAGTGGCGTCACCCGATCACTTCTTATCACTGATTTCATTTATCGATCAGCAGTATATTTATTCGTTTTAACAGTCCGGAACTCGTTTATTAAACTGCTCCTCCATAAAAACAACTTTATTGAAGTCATTCTGTAAAATGACCTCGGTTCAGCGTCATCAATTAATATACATCCACATCATTAGAAATGTGAACCAGTAGTGAAAAATAGGCGACTAATTAAGAGCTTCACGTATTGAAATCTGTAACACATAATGATCATTGTTGCAATCACTTCTTTAAGACAATTTAAGCTAATGCTTGAGCCCGTTAAATTTAATGAAATTGTGGTTGGATTAATATTTAAACAATGATATCCTTTTATTTTGTATTGTTTACAAATGACGTGTTAATATTATTTGCTTTAAATCGACGTTGAACTGTGTGATCATCCTAAGGTGTTTAATTAGTCTCGAGAATTGTTAAGCATAACGAACTCTTGGATTTTATTGTGCATACTTCACACCGTTACATGGTAAAATAAATGCAGTAACTGAGACGATATTTTATTTATTTATTTGTCTACTCTTTCTGAGATACACATGTACCCCATACTTGTGTTAATGATAGACTGCTAATATGAAAAATCACTTAATCTGCTAAGTGTCTTCGATTTCAAAGTTCACTTTATTGATGTGACTGAGTGCATTATTACGATAATAGAAATAGATTTGAACTGACATGAACTCATGACAAATGCATTCGCTAAATCCAATAGTTTATGTTTCAAAAGACAAAATTGAGTTTGTATTTACAAATAATTATTCTTCAAACATGCTACCACTTCGCAACAAACCTTTTTTCAAAACGTATTTTATTTTTTCATTTGAACACATAAATATTGGTACAAAGGGGTACCAGATATTTATGCGCCACACAATAATAATGACAATGGGAAGAGATAAAGAATATAAGGTGCGTGTAAAAAGAAAAAAGAAGAACTAAAGCGACCACAAATCAGTGTATGGTAGTGAAATAACAATAATAATAATAATAATAATAATAATAATGGGGTAAACAGAAATGTACGACCAGAAAGAATTCTTTCAGTTAAAGAAGTTACGGTCACTTTTTATGAAGAAAGTAAAAGAAGATTACAGCAGGATCTCCAAGGTCGAGAAGTCTTTCTCCAGGCAACAGATTCACACCACCATTGCTTACATCCATCAGAGCTGTTTCCGGAATGTCATCGATGGCAAAGTTGAAGAGGAATGGTGAGATTGGGCAACCCTGCCTAACCTCACTGCTCGAATGGAACAATGGAGAGAGGTGGTTGTATGCCCTCACTCTGCCTGAGGTGTTTGTATATAGGGATTTCATGACGTTACTCGGATTCTCAGACACACCCTTCTTCAATAAACAATCCCAGAGGACAGTGCTGTACAACGAATCGAAGGCAGCCCTGATGTCAAGAAACACTACGATTGTTGGCCTTTGATAAGTATGACGGTGTTCTAACATTTGGCGGAGGGTGAAGATATGATCAATACATCCTCGGCCAGAACGAAAACCAGCCTACTTCTCGCGACTCAATCTTTCTCGGGTTTTGAACAACCTACGAAGTATGACAGAAGCCAATAGTTTGGACCAAATCGGAAGTAGACTTATCCCCCGATAGTTGTTACAGGAACGACGTGAACCCTTTATAAAGATAGAGAAAACTTTCGACTCATTCCATGATCTTGGAACGCGCTCTAACTCCCAACCTTTGTAAACAACACAGTCAGTTCCTGAACCAGAAGGTCTCCATCATCTTTAAAAAGGGCCAGAGTTCATCTGGACCCGATGATTCGTAGAGCTTTAAGAGTTGGAGTTCCTCGTGGACTTCTGCCTCATTTGGTGGATCAGTCGTCACCGGCCATGGAGAGTAGGACAGTCTGGTCGATGTCGTCGGGGCAGTAGACCAGTTGAACTGCTCCTCGACAAACTCTGCCCATCGTCCACGACGTCGTTTGATGTTAGTGAATGGCATCTCCTCATCTTCACAGATTGTTTCGCTCACACTAGACTTTTGCTGCTAGCGGCTCGGATGAGTTGGAAGAGCTTCCGGTAGTTGCTAGATGTAGCTGCTGCTTCCAGATCATTAGCACGCTTCGACCACCAGGCTTCTCGGTCCTTACGCAAGCTTTGCCCAATTTCCTTACGTAACATCCTTCGATTATGGTCAAACTCACGGTCACCCGGAGTAGACCGACGGGCTTCAATGAGTTGTAAGGAACCAGAAGAAACCCAGTGCTTAAAAGCGGGACGTTTCGCAAACCCACAACTGACTGTTCCCGCCATTTTCATGGCGTCATGCAATTGCAACCAATGCTCATCTATACTTTTCGGTGGAGTGGTAGCTAGCCTAGAGGCTAGCTCGGTTCGATACTTATTTGCAACAGAAGTTGCAACCAGCTTGCTAACATCAATCCGTTCAGGACGATGAATTTGTTGGCCACTGAAAGTAAGGTAAGATTGGCGCAAACAAGGGCATGATCAGAGTTCAGATAGTTACTCCCAAAAGGAGCTTCAGTCTTATACGCAACCACACCAGCGGTAGCTGATTGTGATGTGATCAATCTGAGTCCAGGTTTGATATGTAGAAGGAGGATGCCAGGTGACACATCGGCGATGACTGTGCCGAAAGTTAGTGCTAGCCAGAAACAAGTTGTGGTCTGTGCACAGTTGCAGTAGACGGTCCCCGTTATCTGACCTGCGACCAACAAGTCCCCATCGGCCACCTAAACGACTCTCTTCTGTGTCTAGAGGCTCGACTTGAGCCTTCAGATCTCCGGCCAATACTACATTATCTGTCGAACGCACTTTCTGTAGAAGAACTGTTATTTGGTGTTAAAACTCATCCTTGATCGCATCCGTTTGCAATCTGTCAGTGCATAGGCGGAGATGACTAGAAGACATCGTTTCTCACACTGATTTCTTGTTGTTTTGATGGAACTTCCTAATAGAACAGCACATAACCGACTGTTAATGGGGGCGCAGTCGATTAGTGCTACCTCGGCTCTAGCGCTTAGTGCGACACCAGTGCCAGTAAAACCGGACGAAGATGCCACAGGTTCCCCGGATAAACGCACGTGAAACAAGCTTTCATTGGAGTCTTGAATACCTATCCTGGATAGGCAACAGACACCGATATTAAGACTTTCTAAAGACATAGCCAACTCTATCTGTTATCCGATCTGCATTAGTGTGCGAACGTGCCCCCAAATGCCCTGGTACGACCGGTAGTGAGTACAGTCTGCTCTCCCTCTCGAAATGCTCTCACATGGACACGCGTATATAGCCTCTGCCAGGGAAGTCCTACTCACTGCCTTCTCGTGGCTGGGGTATTGTTTACGAAATTAAGAAAACGAAAGCAAATGTCTGGCGCCTTAACCGGGTTGGTGGACACGGAGAGTCCACCTAGAAGAGTTGGGGAATCCTGATTCCAAACCAATGGTGCACATGGGCTCCAGGATCCTGAGGGAATAAATGACGTATGAACCTACTGTTGGTCACCGGCTACCATGGGACTGCATCTCCTTACGAT